TCTGCATGTTCGTCATCTTGAAATCAGGATATTTTGACGGGGGGTGGGAGGCGAGGGTGGTGCAAGGCATCCTGATAAAAAGTCTTTTTGTTGAAGTTTCTCATCATTTTTTTCCTGCAAATTCTAATTGCTCAATATTTTTGCAGGTGGAAAGGAGAAAATGTGAGTACAACGGAAGTGGAAGGCATTTTGCAGCTCTTAAAATGCTTGACTGATGTTGCTGTTTACGGTGTTGAAATACCGAGTGAGTTTTTTAGATTACTTTTCTCTCACTGATGTTTTTCTGGATTTCTCCTAACAAATTGCCTTCTTTCGGTACTCTTCTTATAATATTTTTAGAAAGAGAAGGACGTGCGGGGATGGCTGCTGTCGTTTCGGCAGGGGGCTTTACTTCACAGGTATCGCTACCTGCTTTTTTCATTACTTCAGGATCTTAAAAAAACAGCTGCCCTTGCACTGTCAAGCACTTCCTCGGTGTTTGTTTGTTTCGTCTCTCCGTGGCAAATTGTTGCTGACACAGGCCCACCTTCGTCTTGCTTTTGTTATTGACAGCTTTGTGGGCAGGTGGTTTCTGTTGATTATGTACTAACTGTCGCTTAGGCTATTTCCTAACAACTTTCACTGAGACTGAAAATGGAGGATTTTTTGGCTTTTCGATCGTACAGGTCTTCTTTCATCTTTTCAAATGCTCCGGTTTTGCTATCTTTCCCTACGTCCTTGTTCATTTCCCTTTGTACTGGTTTATCTTGGCTCAAGTTGTTTTCTTCCTCTTTACAGGGCTAGTGTCAGGCTGATGCCTGTACTTAACTTTTTAATTTAAAATAATCAAACCTGTTATGGAAGTGTTCCAGGCCACTATAAGTGTGTTTGTAGGAAGTAGTGGATAGGATGTCAGAACATCTGAGAAAAAGCCTTCCAAGTTATGCGATCCCAATTTTTGTACGATTTTGCAAGGATTTCGATCGTACAGGTCATTTTATTAATTTTTTTGTTAGTTTTGAAAAAAAGTCCATTTCACTTTTTTTTAAAGCTACGGCCTTGTGACTGTGTTCTTTCTTATTATTCATGTAGCTGGTGGTGTTTTTGCTGGACTCGATCCTGTAAAATTTTGATGCATTTAGCTTCCTGCTAACCTCTCTGGAACGTCAAGATGATTCTTTGACCCCTCTAATTCGGTATACTGAACTGCTGGGCATCATTACTGAATTTGACTTTTTAGCTCAGCTTTGTGGTAACATATGTTGATACAGAAATCATTGACACTAGTTGTGTAGTGTGATCTTAGAGCTTTCATGAATTGGCAGACAAACATGCGTTGGGGTTAGTTTCTGCGGAATGTGGACTGTTCTGGAAACAGATTACTTCTGTTGAGTTCCTAAGACCTTATTTGTTTTTAGGCACTTACAAACTGAAGAAGATGAGTCTGAGAAAAGAGGGATACGATTTGTCGAGTTGCCACGGCGAACAGATCTACATATGGGACTCCTGCGTTAAATCATACAAGTACAGTCTTTTGATTGATAGTATTCAGCCCCACATCATTTATCAGGTCGCTCAGATCTGATAGTATCGCGTAAGTGGGACATGCATATTTTTAAGTGAGTAGCAGGCAGTGCCAGGCGGGCGCGGAGCAACTCAGTTATCTCTTCTTGCGATTATGTTTTAGGATATGCATCCATGTGCAGAAAGAAAGTCACTTCGTCTTGCAAATTTTATTTTGTTGAAAACGAGGGACAACCCGATATTTCTGGGATAATTAAGAAGGTTGTGGCAGGTCTACGTCGTTAAGTGTGGAACAGCGAACGCCCTTCCAAGATTTAGCTTTCTGGTTTTCTGGCTTTCGAGTTAGTGGTTTTTCGCGCCAAAATTTTCACATAGCTGTATGTAAGAACTCAGCGGATTTGGGA